TATAGTTGCTTACATCCAAAAGCGTATTGTGGAGAGTGATGCACTGTTTAGTTTCCCGGTTTCGGCTCCCCACTGAAACTCATATTTTTGGAACAATCAATATGACTATAAACTTTAATTGTTTAGTGCGTGCTCCCTCACTATGTACCCAAGATATTTCTGTGACACAACGCTTATTACCTTTCCACTACTACAATTGCACCTCCTCATTTTACGCGAAATACCTCTATGTATTTAGCCATCCTACCCAATTTTCAAAAATTGAGCCGGATTTTCACGCATTTCCTTCCAGCCGGTGGATGTAACTCTAGGTTCCCTACCTAAGGTATTTTGATCCCCTAAATACGAATAAGGAAAGGCATCAGCTAAGTTCGAAAGCTTTCATCAGCTCAAGCTTTAGAAGAAATTAGAAAGAAAAAAATAGAAATAGGTATAAATAAGAGTTCCATGAAGACGAAAGAAGTATTATTCGGTAGAATAAAGGCGAAGACCTATTAGAGAGATTGAGACTCTAGTCAAGCAGCTCACATACTACCCTTAATATTTGTACAACCCACTTTCATTGTACAACTCCATCAATCGTTGTAGATATTGAGCCATCTCTAATTGTGAAGGTTCACTTTCCAGTTGGTATGAAGTTCGCGCCACGCGTTGAGTTACCTGTATATAGCTATCAATCAGAACAAGGAGACATGTCCACAGTAACCTAGCGACTAAAAAACATTCAAGTGGTCAGAAAATATGTAACAAATAAAGATCCTCATATTTTCCTAACTAAACCCTCAAATAACATTATCAACCAGTAGAGTAAGTATTTTGAACACCTTGAAAAATATGGGAAAGCCTTTGTTTGCGGTGTACTCCGCAGTTTGAAATCAGGATGCTCTTTTATAGGTCAAAATGATGATGCAGGCATCAAGGAAGAAAGTAAATTCACCTCGGCAAGACGTAATCGCTCAGCTGCCAGTTTATCTTCGAGTTCTTTGACCTCTTCTTCAGTCTGAAAAATTCTCGACTGATTGTGAGCAATCAGAACGAAAACATATCTGACGATTGTATGGCAATAACAGCCAATAAAAAACATTATAAGCTCAGCGGACTTAATCAATTTCGGTTACGCACTTGGAGCCGAGGAGCCCCATAGCTTGCAAAAAAATTACATTCAGGAGCGAGTCCCCACTTCGACAGAACATTATATTGGGTTGAGTCATAAGACCTCGGACAAATGATAGCGATGACTTCTAGTGATCATAACTCGGGAAAAAGGAGACGAAAATGGATGCGCAAGGCATTGTTAGGTAGAGTATGAAAAGCTCTTCAAAAGCCTTTCTAACGAACACACCTGCAACTCGTTTCGTTTCCTGCAACTATGCCCCATGATTTCAAGCCGTCGCAACTCCTTCTCTGCACCACCACCCTATTTCTTTTTTTATCTGGCCAAGAACCCGCGGAGATCGATAAACGTCTCAAGAAAATTTACAAAAAGGGTGCTCCTGCTAGATGCACAATTTAAAAGTGGCACACGAAGTTCACGTCGGACGACCATTTCATGGAAAATGAAGACCGTCCGGGACGCTCAAAGGAGTTGGATTTGCTGAGGAGTCAGGTGGAAGCCGATCGAGTACTCGTGAACTTGCAGTCACCCTTGGGGTGTCAGTTCACAATTATTCGTGGATTGAAGTCAATCGGCAAGATGCGAAAGCTCGGTCGATGGATGCCTAATGCTTTGAAGCAGTATGACATGGATTTTTGCGGCGACATGGCACTTTCTCTCCTCATGCTCAAGCGCAGAAGACGGTCAGGTGTACTCTTTAATATGTATTTGGAAGAGCTCTTTATACTCTATTTAACGGTGCCTCGCGCGTCCATTTTCGTTACCTCTTTCCTGAGTTATGATCTCTAGAAGTCATCACTTTGACATTGTCCTAGGACCTATGACTCGACCTAATAATTAGAGAAAGTCTGGGTAATCGTGGGTTAACATTTTCGCCTTCATAATCTAGAACTATTTACAAAATTCAAAGTACTGCAACATTGGTTCTACCCAAGACAGGGATACCTATTCAAAGCAGAATTCTATCGTAATAAATACCTAGTTATCAGTTAGAAATAAGTTCAAGATGTACCATGAAACAGCGGCATAACGAAACGAAAACGTACAGCATCTTCAAGGTTTTTATATGTCTCTATTTCTCTTCTGATGGCTTCCATCTCTGCCTCGGCGTCTTCTTCAAATTGACGTTCACGCTTCTTCATAGCTTCAACTTCCTCGAGGTACTTACATGCCTCTTCGATTTCTCTAAAAATGCCTTAATCAGCACCTCATCAGTGAATTGAACACTAGGATCATATAATTCATGGCTAACAACTTTCGCCTAACATTAAGCCGGCTAGACGCGGAAAGCGATGCTCGAGGGTATTATTACAAAGCGTCCGTAGATGGGCGCTGTCACTATCAAGAAATAAAATTGCATAGAGAAGGGGTCGTTACTAATGGGTGGACCAAAAAAATACAGCTCTCATACAGAATTTACAAGAATTTGCCTCTTGATTCGTTACGCTTCACCAGCAAAGCATTCAAACATGAAAAATGCAAGGGTCAAAGACTGAGGACAACAGCGATAGCAATAAGGAATAATATCGAGTCGCAGTGAATGATAAGAATATTAGGAAAATATTAAAGGCACAGTTCACGATAATTTTGGGCTATTTAGTTTTAGATGAGTAATGGAAGTGATAGTCCAGAATAGTGAAAAAGGCGAAGAAAATCGAAAATCGGCGTAAAATTAAGTGTTGGACGAGAATGTGCCGAAAAAAGTCGCATGGAAGCCGTATTTAGACGAGTTGTTCGAATGCGCACACCATAGCAAGTAGCTGGCAGCAATGCCAGCTGCCTGCGTGCAAGACGTGGATCCCGGTGCGAGTGGTAACCTCTACCGCTTTTCGAACGCTTAGCAACTCGTCCGCCTTGGGCGTGTATGTCGGCTAAGCCGGTTTCGTGGAACCATACAATTAGTACGCCCTATCTTGTCTGTTTTTCGATCCGACAACGTCCCTTAGGCTATTCTTGGGGGTCACGATTCATCTTAGGAAGGAAACTCATACACCATTTTCCACGTGAACTCTGTCTTTAGACACCTGCCATCAAAAATCAAAAGCCGATGGCAAAATTCTTCTATACCCAATCTCATAAGATGACAATAATAATTATTTTAATATTGTGTTTACTACGATATGACCACCTCCACCATTGATCTCACAATTATCAATCAACACTGATGGTCAATCAAACACTGATGGTGAGAACCGCGAGTCCTAGAAGAGAGACGTCTACAGACTTATATAGAAGATTACAATAAAAGTATTCTCATGGAAAAACATAAAGAAAACAGGAAAGATACGATCAGGAGGAGGGCCTAGCTTGCAAGAGTTCACTAGTCACAGCCATAACCATAGAGGGTAATCGAATGTAATGCCTTCAGTAATATTCATCACCGAAATTGGTATGACAATAATATGTCTCATTATCTCGCAAATGACCAACATATACTCGTTTGGCAACGTCAATGCTCTTGGGTAAGTGGCGATGAGGAACATGGATATGATTGGCACTCGCCTTTTGGGGGCAACCGTGCGCAGCAAATGATAAGAAAACGACAACGTATATCCACAATAAAAACGGACGGATTTCGAGACATTCAAAGCTGCATTCTTGGCTCTGGCAGAAATTTTAATTGCAATGTGGTATTTCAAGAACTCACCCATTGGAATAATAAAGAGAAAAGAGAAAAAGACGGTGAGCGGCAGAAATAGAATGGTGAGCAAGAGAGAGGACGTCCGAATAAGCGTAATCAATCGGGACTTATTGAAGAACATGTTCCCTAATTACTTCAGAGGAGGAGATAATAAAAGAACGTGTTTGAGGATGAACTCTGCTAAGTCCTGTGTATACATGCGCCTTCGATCTCTCACACACTACATGCTCAGAGAATCTTAACCCCACTTCCATCGTACAGCTCGCATATTCTTTTGAGTGTTGAGACATACCCAATGCGATCAATAAAGTAAGAAAATTAATGGCTACACTTTAAAGAAAAGGATCAAATCAGGGCTGTCGTGATTGAAAGAAAGGTTACGATTGCCAGAAAATGGTAGCAAAACAACAATATATTCGAAACCAGCGATGAAGAATAATAAAACAAAACCTGAAACGTACTCAGGTGTAAGCTTCTGGTAGAGCTCTTCCACTTCTTTATTCTCCTTCAAAGCAGCCTCCACAACAGCGAGTTCTTCACCTTTGCCTTCGATTTGTTTTTCAAGCTCTCCCAAATCACCCTGCGCCTACAACATCTCTGAGATCACCACAATTTCCTTGCCCCAAATGTATTCAGTCTGAGGTGGAACTATCTAGGATAAAGAAAAGGAATCGTACCTGGTCAAGCTTGGCCTTGAAAGAGTCAGCGTTTTCGGCGTCAACCTGAAATTTCGTTTTAAAGCTGTAACCACCTCTTCATCAATCACAATCCTTTGAATCTTTGTATTATATTTTTTGGACTTTAATATGAAATAATAAAACAAGGTAAACCATAAAAAACCAAGTCCCTTAAGATTTGCAATATACTTACCTGCCCTATGTTTACAGAAACGATCTGTTCACCACATTTCGCCGGTCCTAGCCAAAGTCTTACATCAACAGATAACATAATCGCTATCGTTCACGATTGAGCAGATACACGCACGGTTTTCTAATCCACTTATACTCAACAAAAAACTATTAATGGCTTACAGCTGCTGTTTGGACGTCGATCTCTTCAAATATCTTCTTCGCTGTCTTTGTGGAAACTTTGAGACGTTTCTTGTCACCAAGCTCTTCCAAAATATCAGATTGGAAGACTGTATTAGACGGGCCTTCGAATCCACCTTCCACTTTCCCTGATCTAGACATGGAAAAAATTCTCCTAGTTCTCCAAATGAATCAATCCTAAGGCATAATTTCCCACTCACCTTCCAGTAAATTCCGCTAAGGTGCAGTAGGCGTCTTCGAGTAATGAAGTGATTTTTAGGTCACTGCTGCGCTTGAATTTTCTCTGTGGAACAATGGATTTATGTAGAATATTGTAGTTCTCCGAATACGGATCAACACGAGGAACCTAAAATAAACTTTACGTATGAGAAGAAATACTGAAAACCGGCCAAATGTTCTCTTCCTCTCCGGTGTGAAGAGACCATCAAAACGCAACACAACAAATTGTACACAAGAAAAAAAAAACAATGTAGCGAACTTGTAATGTAGAAATGTTTCCGGGATGAAGTGAACCAAAGCGGGCACCTTTAATTACCCTATTATGGGTGAACAAGCACGAGTTGTACACAGGAGTCACTGCTGGCAACACTCTTGAGCCAGCTGGACTGCCCCACAGCGTTAGGCTCGAGACTGACCTTTCCACAGAATTTGTTGTACTGATAGTCGATATATGATTTGAGATATTCCGCACGGCTAGCCTTTGAATCCATCGCCATTTTTACGAGCCACTGAAGACAGTTTCTTTTCTTGAAGGTTCATACGCACCGTAGTACTTCCCAAGACTAAACTGAATGGTGCTTACCTGTATGACAGGATAAATGTTTTGCAGATCGAGTCCCTGGATTTGATGTGGCTCGATACGATGGGGGCATTGCAGATCCGTTAGAACTCGTACAACCTTCTCTGTCAATATGCTGGAATGAAATACTCAAAAAAGGCACTTAATGGTAATTAAACAGTAAGAGAAATATGTGCCAACTTACATTTTGTGTCCTATGTCAAGGTCTTCTTCAAACACGAGGGAAGAATCTATTCTTCGATTGCAATGAGACAGACACCACACCATTCCACCGACAATCTGCAAGGGATGACTTTCTTGGAAGATGCTAAGGAAATCAGTAAAGTAAGAGAAATCTGGCAAGTCTAGACCTTCTCTACGAGGGCAACGAATAATGCACCGCGCAAAGATGATTGAGTTGAGTTGAGTTCATTCATGGGAAAGTGGACGCAAGTGGAGCTTGCAGCTAGCTGGCAATTACAAAAAAAGCACGCAAAAATCGCAGCAAATTCACTATTCTAAAGGGCGGATGTAAGAAAAGGGGTAAAGTGAACTTCATGATGACGAGAATCATGTAATTTGGCACCAAAATTTTGAATTTACATTGAACGAAATGTAGAAATGTAGATGTCAAAACCTTGTCAAATGTCGTAAGACCTTTAATGCGTGCACGGAAGTACCCAGCAGCGACAAGGAGGTCAAGACAGTCCATGAGGTACTTACTATCCTCATCATCGTCCTTCGTATCTGGCTGAAAGAGCAAAAAAGCTGCTATAGAAATCCGTATCCGACTGAAAGAGCAAGAAAACTGCTATGGAAAAGGGAACGGAGTATAAAGCAGGGAGGTCAGTATGAACGGAGATGGCCAGTAGCCAAAGCTTTCCTACAGAAGAAGAGCAAACATCCGGCTCGACTTCTTCCTAAGAATATCAATCCCCGGCGCCACAGTTCATAACAAGCCTGATAACATAAACATAACAGCTTAACAGTCACCCTCTACTTCAACAGTAGGCGCTAAAGCGTAAAAAACGAGGGGCAGCCGTCTTTGAGGGGTAACAATGATGTACTCTAAGCAGGAATGGTGTCCTAGTACGCTATACCTTACAATTCCAAAATCAAGTGGTCAAGTGAATGTTCAAATCTTTCCTGACACCGCTTTTTGCATGAGGCAACCATCTCACATCTCGCAAAAATGGCTTCCCCTCCTAATTCGCGCTCCAGCGTCCGGTGGTGAAGAAGAGGAGTGTCCCCTCTCTCTAATGACACTTCCAATGTAACCCGTAGCCTATCAACATCTCATGCTCACCCCCTCCATTTTTTTGGATGTTCTAAAGAGTCTATTACGACAGCCCCAAAATCGAAGGCTTACTTTTATAATATGAGCAAGTTTATCACGCACCTTGTCGCCAATAGACATTTTAAGTGAATCTGATGAAGTTGGAATGCTCCCAAGCCAAGAAGTGAACGAGGAAGACTGAAAACAAACAGAACAGTCACTCACAAAACCGAAGGGGACGACATACGCTCGAAAAACACCATGCTCGTTATAAATTTTCAAAAAAATCATAAAAATCATGTTCACTGCCGTCAATAATCGGATAATGCCACTATGCAGAGTTGATTTTCGCTTTTTACCATATAAAACCTTCTAGTTCTATAAAAACTAGCTTAAAAGCAATAACTTTTAACTGTGGTCACAGTAGAAGCACACCTGAAATGGTACATTGCCATCACGTCGGCGGCCGCGCCATGGCATTCGCGCTGGAGCACTTTAATTCAGACAGATTGCTGCCTGGATGAGCTACGCGGTAGGTTTCTGAACTTTAATTCGGCATGTTAGTCCTTTAGCCCTCCACCCCAAGCCAAGTTGTCAGTCAACCACGCGGTTACCCCACGGATACACCCCTCTCTGTAGTGGGTAGAGTTCGAAGTGTACAAAAAACTCGATTACCCGAACTGGTCCGTGTGGTCATAAGAATTTATAGAGATTCAACGCAAACTCACAATATTATAAAGACCAAAGCAGTTACGTCAGGTGAAGTGGTGATACAAACGTTGTTTTATACAAACCAATTAAGCCACGCTTCGGAAAAATCTCAAATAAAAATTTTTATTATGTGAACTCGTCTGAAAACATCACAGTCAATGATCACCGTTATTAAGAATCAATTTTGAGACTGTGCACCGCTTGAGAGAGAAATAAATTGCAATACAATCAGAGTGATAGTTTGAGATGGTGATAATTTCAGTATATCGAGATACCTCATGTTCCAAAGGCTGTTCCATAGAAGGTAACAATAACGTTAGCAGATCTTTCTTGAAATGCACGCATGATAATAAATTACTATCAGTATTATTACAATCAACCTGGATACTTGTAAGCTAGCCCGATAAATTAGCGCTTACTAACTATAACTGTGGTCCCTAACTAATTTGATGTCCGTCCATTTCGCTCTTCATCACCATTTGTCAGCGTATATGCCGGCATATACCTAAATATTCCTCAAAAATGACTTTAAGTGATGAATCAGAACATAACAATAAAAATTTTCAAAAACTTCCCACGTTAGACGTCAAATATGATGGTTAGGAATCATTGGCAGCACTGTAGGTAAGGATGTTTATTGAGTAGGACCCAGTGTTAGGGAAATAGGATGAACAGAATGAAAGAAGAAGGATGAAGTCTATGGGCTGGGATGCGCCTCGCCTTCGACTTCCATTCATAATCGTAGTGGGGTATTGAATGCGAATATGGTCTATACAATGATCTGTAGAGGCCATCCGATGTATAAGTCGGTGCCTTCATCCTCCCAGACGAGTCTGTACCAATTAACCGACCTCTGAGGGATGGAAGACTTGGTTAGCCTGAGCAGGTATCGAAGGGCGATTCAATCCCTCGACTATGCGTGTGTGGTATTGCGCCACTTGCCACTACCCCACCCACGCCCCTGGTCGTTCTCTGGATCAGGAGACAAGAATATTCCAATAACAGCTGGTTTTTAGAGGTCGGGGAATTTCGCAATGGTTCAAAACCATTTTTTGAAGCACTCTCGCTACAATTAGAATTCGCAGTCAGTAATTGGAAATTAAAATCCATTAAGTCTAAAAATAACTAGAATCCAGTTATAAATAAATAAATAAATCATGGAACGACAGGGTCACTCTTCCAATGAGCAACTGAACGATGACATTTCAAAAAGGAGGAGAAACGACGTTAGACACTAACCTTTCAGTACCGTCTTTATCTATAACTTTCAGGGTTGGGTTTTTCATTGTTGTACTTCGTCCTCCTAATGAAGTGTACCCCATGTCATATAGGGGACAGTATGGTATGCACAAATCTCGAAGTGCCTTCCATACATCTTTGTAGGACCAGGAAAGGACCGGACACACCCGCAAGACTTTCGGCCAATCTGGATCTGTCCATTCTGTTGGAGACCTGTAAAGAAAGTGATGCTACTAAGGAGACTTTTCAAGGTTCACTTCTGTCTATCGGTACTCACTTCATGTACTTCCCATGTGGATCTGTTCCTCTACTTCCCATCAGCACAGCAATAACTTTCGGCTGTTCCTTCAACAACGCTTCGAGCCCTGTTTTGAGTGGACCTGGGTACTCCGTCACTTTGATGTTGTAACTACAGGAAAATACAAATATAGTGGTCCAGGTCATTGTTAAAAGAAGCAATTATCTCACTTTCTTGCTGCGTCGATTATGAATTGAGTTGCTTCTGGGAACTGATCTTCGCATAATATATGAAAACCTTGGATTCCAATGTTCGGACCATACTTCCTGCAGTAGAGATGACAATAGAAATCAAATGAATCCGGAAAAGAAACGTAGAAGAAGAGAAACGCACTTATCTACAGCCAAACGAAACAAATGAAGAAGAATTGTACAATCTTTCCCTCCATTGAAGGAGAGGTTGATCTGATCGAGGCTAAAATCACATCGAAGTAATATTTCCTTGAGAGACACTAATAAATATGAACAGAACAAACAACGCTCACGGATATCTTTCTAAAACGTCATCGAGAACGGCAACTGCTTCGTCAAGGTGTGCTACAAATCCAGGATTCTTTACTGCTTCACGTTCTCGGAAAGAATTGAACTTTTCTACGCAATTGACCCATGGCTCTTCATCGTAGTGAACAACAGTATCTGAAAGGGAAGAGAATTTTAGTAGAGACATCAAAGTTCTACGCTAGTTGCCTATCCTCCTTATGCTGACTAATAATATAGGGGAAAAGAATCACGAATCGCGCAAGAATTGAAGACTGTTGACAAAAAAGAAACAAAACAAACATATAACGATCAAAACAGATTACCAAATGACCAAATTTACTTTTTTTTCTTCTCAATTTATTTTTTTAAATTTACCAAATAACTTATAAAGAAAAATCTTTACGGAAGATTATTACCAACTCTCTAAAAATCCGCAAATAGCGTCAGTAACAGCTTGCCCAGACTCGGAAGATTCACTTTCCACAATGAGCTTCGTCTTGAAAAAGCTATAAACAGTCCAAAGTACTAATGTTATGAAAAAATTACAATTACTTCAAGAACGGGAAAACAAGGAGCGAAAATAAAGACATACGTATTCGTCATGACAGGATAGGAACCAATCTCGACAACTCCATCATATTTCGAGGCAATCTCCGATAGCTCATTGGCAATTTTGACTTCATTTTTTGATGTATATATTGTTTTCGAGAACATGGGCTTCAAGTGTGAAGGGAATATCTGGTCCTAAAACTTTTATAAATTGACAACGCCGCTTTTGATTTACCGATCGGACGAGAGCAATATTCAAAAACCATGTCACCAATAGTAATAAGAACTTTAAAATCCTAAAACTGAACGTATTACTTCAACTTGAAAGGCTCAGCTCAAACAAGACATTGAAAGTCAAAGTCTCCCATTACTCACTACATGCAAGTATAAACAGAAAAACAATTAAGAGTTCAAAAAAGAATTTTTACCATGAAATACAAATTTTAACCTCAAAGGGCTAGTATGACAAGGGAGCAATGTTGGAAGTGTTTCAATGGGGAACAATGCCCTCCCGTTCATACATTCGTCATACAATGGGAATTCAATATTCCGTCATCCGTCACAAGTGGTTATCAATTCTATCGTAACTTTCCATCTGTACGTGGAAAATAAATACTTTCTAACATATAGTATGAGCGAATGGTAAGAAGTGTTCTTTCCATTTAGCATTAAACATCAATTTTTCACGAGTGGAAAACAGAAAGAAAAAGGCAACATAATTATTGATTAGATTGTCAAATAAATTACCATTCCCTTACAGTTCAAAGAGAATATGTAGATTTTTGCCTTTATCTTCAATTCCATCGCAGTTTCAACAGGAAATTCATGTCAACATTACAAAGGCTGAATTGTTCGGAATGGTCGTGAAACTTCTCGATCAGAGTCTCACGACCATTGCAAACAATGACGGTTTTGTAATGTTTACAGCAGAAACCCAACTAACTGAATAACTATTGTTTGAAAAGTTTTGATAAACAGTTCAGAAGATGACTTAAAAAGAGGCTCAAAAGTCAGCCACAACACAATGCTAATGAGGGGAATTTCCTATCTGATTTGGAAGATAATCATCCTTTCTTTGATATCATTTTTAGACGTTTCTTGGAAGTTCAAATGCGAAAATTCTAGCAAGTATGCTGAGATACGAATAAATGCCCAGGACCAGATAGAGCAAGAGAACGCTAAAGGCTTTTTTCTCCTCTATTTCCCTTCTTACACTGAGTCACAGTACTTGTAAATAGGTATGTAAAAAATATAGCATTTTTCTGGAGATCACTGCCGCATAAAGGAAAAGGAAAACTGCATTGATCATGAAACCAGCTCATCGTGGAACCACTTTACAATGTATGTAAAATGGACAGAAAACGCAAGAATACGACTACTAAAGAGAGAAATAAGAGGAAAAAATGAATGCTCAGTAAAATAACAGTAAAGATGACCTTCTCACCTGCAATTCTACCAAAGCTTTTTCGCAGAAACGTGGAACACCGGGTAACGTGACGACATTTCGTATCCTCACAACTGGAAAGTTTGAGGGCTTACCATTAGCTGTACTCCAAAGCAATTCAGCCGAAACAGGGATCTGAAACTCCTTCGATTGAATCCCGTTATAAACCCAACATAAACTGTGTGAAGTGTCTTCACTCCAAAGGCGAACAAATGAAGAAGGAATTCGAGAAGAGCCCTCAAAAAGATGAGACCGGAAAGACCGTGAGCAACATTTTTTAGTCAGGGAGTACCATAGAAGGAGCATATGAAGTCGGAAAAAACGCTAGGTAAAGGGTGAAAGCGCGAAAATGGCGAGTATCTAGCGCACTTAGGAAGAATTGAGAATTTAGCACTCCGTTCTGAAATAGACTTTTTTCGCAGCCCTGCAAACTCAATCGACCCTCCTAGTATCTATTACTTTCCCGTTTCCTACCAATGACTATGAAGATTACGAGCTAGCAGCATGGAAAATAATCGAGAAAGAGTCATACTGGTGTGCTTACTATATGCCCTGAAGACGGCTCCAGATTTCACTGTCTAATATAGATAAGGTCAATGCCAAAACAAAACCAGTTGTCAAAGACCAATTCCATATTCTTAACCAATTTCTAGCCGCCTATTTGTGCAAAGGGGATGTTCGAACGAATACAGGAACGGACTTTCATCCAAGAAACATCCAAAGGATAGAACCTGACAAAATAATGTAGAGTCCGCATACTGTAATGGGTATTCCAGAACTGACAAAAAAGCAAAATGACGACAAAAATCGCCCTACCATGCTCAGTTTATCCACGAATGCGTTGTGCTCGGTTGACAAATGTTTTGCAGGGAAATAACGTTTGATAGCTGCAACGATCTCTGGTGATTGCCGCAAATCTTCATTAAACGCTCGCGCCAAGCCTGCAGGTAGTGGAGAAGTTTTGTGGAGAACGAATGAAGCAAAGTACGGTAAAATAAGGGTATGACCTACCGATATAGGTCTTGTCGTCGTGGGTGGGTCCCACACCGCCAGTGGTGAATACGTAGTCAAATCGTTCACTAAATGAACGGATTTCATCGCTGATATCGTCAACGTTATCACCGATAGATGATATCTACAAAAAGTCAATTTTTAAATAGTTACATTTGGGTGGTAAAATGTTGGCTGCCCTTTTTTCCATTCTAAACAAATTAGCAACAACACGTTTTTCAACAGTAAACTGGGAAAACTAAAGGATTTATGGAGATTTATTGATAAAAGAGAACAGGTTTCATTACTTTTCTTACAATCTTTGTGCTTAGAAACTAGGGAGAAGGGCAATTTGTTCAGTACAGATAAAAGGAGCTTATTTAGCAGTAAAATAGAATCAACTAAAAGACTGAAAACTAAAGATTTTAGATACTGTGACTTTAAGCAAAAACTGGAAATAGTTGAAAATGACAAGTAAATATATCGGCATTTATTCAAATGAATCTACATATATTTAGTGCGAGAAAGGTGGAATAAAAAGCACACAGTGCCGCTGATCACGATCAATAACGAAGTTCACCGTGTGTGTCGCGATCAGACAGTCCTCCCTTGTGCAAATTGCAATCGCAGCCAAATCGGCTTTGCGGTTTCCTTTGGTGGTCGCCTTTGTCACAACGCAAGAACCACACGAACACCCGTCGATCAAGCACTCGCAGCGCTATTTCAAGATTAAATGAGCTTATTTTAAAGTGCATCAGATCATCAGCTGGACATGTACTTTCCCCGATCGCGTAGCTAATCACCACCAGGTTGCCCTGTGTATAAACGATAAGTAATAAAAAGTCGTTCAGAGAGGCTTCCATGATGTTTCAATAGGAGCAGATCGCCGACTTACTGCTCCCTCAATCCACATAGTATACAAAACGCCCTCCATACGATCAATAATAGACCGCACAAAAGCAATCAATGCGACAAGGGCTAATCGAAGCTAGACGAAGCAAAATGCCCTAACATTGATTACCGCACGCGTCACTCAAGCGTCGCAAGAGCATCGACGATCGATGCAACCATTTGACAGCGACGTTTCCGCGACTGCAATTCTGTATAATGAAGGCTGTTCAGACGAAGTGTATACCAACACAGATAGTAAGCAGAAGGATTGTACGTTGATCAGCGAAAGTTGTTTACTCTAATCAATATACAATCTTCTCTTATACTATAAATTCGTTTTGTATTTGGAAAAAAGAATTGAAAATTGTAAGCCATGAAAGAAAGGTTGAGAATAAAACATGTATCCAAAAATAGAAGAGAAATGAAAATTGTAAGCCATAAAAGAAAGGTTGAGAATAAAACATGTATCCAAAAATAGGAGAAGAGAAATTGTATCCAAAAAAACTTGCCTTTTTCACCTGGACACCGAGTTGATGCAATTTTTTACATATAAAATGGGAGTTAGTATCCATTGTTGATCCTTTTAATATTTCATCCCCTATCACTGAAATATAAAATTGGATCAAATCATTTGTATTTTGAAGGTATTAAACAATGCTATACATCCAATAAATCTTTTTAAAATCGAAACCATTTCAAAAAAAATGCTAGTTCAAATGACTTTAGAACAAACTCGGACGTCCATCGCTTTTTTAACACCATCGAACCTTTGAGGGCTTTCATAAAGTTTTCGACTAGCTTTTTTTTCAATAGAAACTATTAAAATCTTTAAAACAACGTGTAACTTACCTATAAGACCTGCTGTCGGCCTCATTTCATCAAGCGGTATGTGAAAATTGTGAAAGGCTCTTAGTGATAGAGCTCTGAACATAACGATATGGGGATAACGATGGTTCAATACAGCGTCGTGCTCAAAGAGTACACGTCAGCCGCAAAGAAGCGAAGAAAGGGGGAGAGAGAGAATGTGTTTACAGCAGAGTTTAGACATAACTTAGGCGGTAAACAAAAGTTCAAAGTACACAACCGGAAGTGACTACTGTAGGTGCTACTTCTTCAAACAAGAAAAAAAAAGGGAAGGGAAATATTGATAGGGCTTATCAGCGAGACGTTTCACTAACCCGATGACGAAAAATGTCAGCTGTGTGAGTCAATTGTGGCCCACTTGCGACAGTTGCTGTCGCCAAGGGAAACTAGTGGAACCGGTCATGTGCCTTCATGATGAATGCACTTTCCCCTGGAACCCCCGAGAGGCACGTTCTCATCTGGGTTGTACCGTAACTGCCTGAACTCTAGCGGAATTGTACTGTTAAGGTTATTCGCATGGTGTATAGAGTCGCACCCTTGACCTTATGTATTGGGTTGTAACATAAGTTCGTAGAGTTTTTTCACAAAGATTTATTTTAACAAAAACAATAATTATAATAATAAATTAATCAATGATGTATCCTCCTGTTACTGTTTGCGACCTCCTCCAATCTCTCGACCAATTTGTTGATGCCGTTTCGCCAAAAATCGGCCGGTCTGGTGTCGAAGAAGTTGTTGAGCCAGTTTTCAAGAACCTCTTCGCCATCGAAGGTAACACTCCTCATTTGGTTTGACAGAGAGCGGAAAGGTGGTAGTCGGTAGGTGCAAGATCCGGAGAGTACGGTGGATGCTGAAGAACCTCTCATTCAAGCTTTTGGAGTGCTGTTTTGACGACTTGGGCATTATGGGGCCTGGCGTTGTCGTGGAGCAAGATGACTTCACCTTGTCTATCGGGTCTT